ACCCTTGGAAGCTCAGAGTCTGCAAAAGGGTCATTTTAATGTTTCCCTCCTCTGTTTGGTAGCCCCTTCCTTCCCGGCAGGCCACAAACACGTCTGACCTCTCTTTCCAGGGGTGTCCACCTGGTCCTGTTGGCCCCTCCCTCCACAAGTGTGGTTCACCAACATTAAACAGGTTTCTTTACTGCAGAGACTCTCAGGGCCTTCGACCTGCTGTGAATCTCCAAGAATGGCCCATGTGAACACCTGATGCGCCCAACATCTTGAGGCATAGAATGAGGAAGGTTTCAGCCACGTTTGGTCTGCAGGTTCCCACATTCCAAGACTGGACACGGCTCCCCTCCACCTCTGATTGGACCAGAGAACTCAGTTGTCCCCTTGGTATCCACAGGGCTTTGGTACCAGGACTCCCAAAACCCAAGGATGCTCATGGTCCTCATGTAAAACAGGGAGGTATTTGCACATGACCTTCGCACACCCTGTCCTACACTTTGATGTAATGTCTCTGGTTACTTACAGGACCCTGTGCAGTGACAGTGCCGTGCAGATGGTTGTTATGCTGCACCGAGACAGGAAAGAGATGGGGAGATGCCTGTCCGTGTTCAGCGTAGCTGAACAGACCAACTACACAGAGCACCAGTGAAGGACAGAGATCCAGGCGTGGATGTGGGAAAGTGTGGCAGGGTTCGTCCACGCGTCACTCATTCTGGTGGCTTCAGCGGCCAATTCAAGTTTTGCTCTGTGGAGTTTTCTAGGATTTTTTTCCCAAATATTTCAGTCTGTGTTTGGTCGAACCCAGCAATGCAAATCCACAGACATGAAGGGCACTGTCCCTAAACACCTTCCTACTCGAATGAGTTCAAGATTTCTCATGTGGCTCCCATATACCGCCACCCCAGTGGTTTCTTCTAAATGAGCCAAGGAGTCTGTGTGGGTCTGGAATTGGAATCCAGTTCTCCCTCAGATAGAGCAAGCTGTCTTCTGAGAGAGAAACTTCTAGCTCTGGCGGTGGACTTTTCTGTGACCATGTTAAGTCTTCTTTTAAAAAAATATTTTTAGTTGTGGATGGACACAATACCTTCATTTAATTAATTAATTAATTTGTTTTTATGTGGTGCTGAGGATCAAACCCAGTGCCTCACACATTCTAGGCAACCACTGAGCTGTAACCCCAGCCCCATCTTAAGTCTCAATCATCCCCATTCATGTTTTAACTTAAACGTGTCTTAGAAGAAGCTTGACCGGAGTGCTACTGTACTACTGATTCCCACTTTAACAATTTGTACCTCTGTGTCTTGGTACCTGAACTTCAAATGCAGCCTGGCACCAAAAGCCCTTCTACCTTTCTGAGACAGCTCTTCTCCTCCTGTAGCTGCTTAGACTGCTACGCTGCCTGGCTCACAGCCTTGTCAGCCAAAATGCCCTGTTACTCCAAGTTCCCTGGACATTCTACTCCCCTGGTAGAAAATGTGAAACCTACATCCCCAGAACTCCATGCCCAAAGCAAGATGCTGCTTTCCTCTTTATCACTAGAAAGGAACAATTTCCCATTCTTTAGTAAAATTACTTGTTCTTTCTTAAGTATGCATACTCATTAAAAAAAAATACGAAAGATGCAGAAAGACTAAGAAAAAAATCAACCATAACTTCACCACTGAAAGAAACCTACTATTAATATTTGGGCTATTTCCTTATACCCTTTCTTAAAGAATAAAGAAATCTTTCTCCTCCCTACAGGAATCCAGCTGCCAGTTCTTAGGCATTGCTTTGAAAGTTTAAACACACTAGTACTTAAGGTTGCCTTGAGCAAAATTCAAGTCATGCAACTTATTTCTTGGAGTAAGAATTTCAAATCATTTTATACAGAAAAATGGGAGGATTTCTTTTGTTTGTTTGTTTTGTGTTTTATCCTGGTGCTGGGAATCAAAGCCAAGGTCTCATGCATCCCAGGCAAGTGTTCTGCCGCTGAGCTACAGCACAGCTGGAAAATGAGTTTTAAAATATTTTACCTGGCGGGCTGGGGTTGTGGCTTAGTGGTAGAGTGCTCACCTAGCATGCATGGGGCACTGGGTTTGAGCCTCAGCACCACATAAATATAAAATAAAGATATTATGTCCACCTAAAACTAAAAAATAAATATTTTTTAAAAATTTGTGTTTTAAAAAAAGATATTTTACCTGGAATGTCAATAACTTAGCATGTGCTTCATGTCTTTCTAGCTAACATAATCTACATCCCCAGATCCATCCCCAACCCCAGTGGAGCATCCCTGACCACCTGACACCCCAGGTCCCTCACTCTGCCATCCATCTATCAATTTAGACCATCCTCATTGAAAAATGGCATCAAAGGTAATAGAGATGGGCGGGGGGAATATCAAAATATGCCCCACCTAGTTTATAACAGTCTCTTTTTCATTGAAATGAACCTATTTTGTCTTCTTCCCATAGCCATGCATACAATTAATAATTAAGGTTTACGAAGTCCATGGCATGGTCTGTGTGCTACAAGGTGAGAGGCCGTCTGCGACAGTTAGAAAAGCAGACAGCAAGCTGGCTCACACTGCAACACACTGGGCTTTCAGAAAGCGGGTGAGTCATGTGGCGAGAGATTTAAGATCCATATGGAACTGCAAAGGCCAACAGAAGACCAGAGGAAGAAAGCACCGGCAGAGACCAGGGGCAGGAAGGGGCCCTCAGCCAGCATTCACTAGGTGCCAACTATGTGCCAAGCATTGTGAGGGGAAGAGATGGGACCAGGAATCTGATCAAAGCCGTGCTGAGGAGGGATTTCTAAGTGCCCTTGGGAAACAGGAAATGTGTCCCCGGGGAAAAGCTCTCGAGTTAGCCTTGAAGGAAAGAGCAGGGGACGCACACCCCAAGCCAGGAGGCCATGGCACGCAGCTCTGCTCGGTAGCCTCCTGGAATGCTGTCTGGAAGAGGAACGTGGAGAGCCCAAGGACGGTTACCTTTGTGCTGCATCAAGAGCCCCAGAGCCAGGGGCGCCTCCAAAAGCCCCCTCCCCTTCAGCATTGACCTCTCCAGACATGGAGGTCACCTCAGAGCCTCCATATCTCCCCTGCCTTGGGCCTCTGACCCGGACCTCCTGTTCCCTGACCTTGCATGGGGACCTCCCACCTTGCCTGGCACACATTAACAGGTCAATAAATATCTGGGTGATAACAAATGGAAGCCAGCTCTCACTTCCTATTCACCAACCGGCCGCTATCTTAATCTCTGCGTCTTTGAACCCAGTTCTTAATTTGGCCCTGAGAATAGATTACACATGCACAGCTGCCTTGCTGAGCCGCGTGGGGTCCGTGAGTAGCTGCTGGGAGCCGACTGTAAACACCCTGTTACCGCAGCTTATCAGCCGGGACGCAGGCCCCTGTGCGTGATCACAGCGGCCACGTTGATCTATGCCATCCAGTCATCCCCCCCACCAGACATCTATTGAGGCCATACCGTACGGCAGGCACAGAGCTGGGAGTCACGCAGACAGAAAGAAAAAGGCACCGTGAAGTGGAGAAAAGGGTTCAATATAAACACTGAGACCACCCGGAGGACTCAGCTGGAACAGAGTCTGACAACCACAGAGAATAGCTATTGATGAAAAACTAATATCAATAAACACATTTAACAAGAAATTAAAAATAACCTATACACCTAAACCACTAAAGATGGGAGGGGGTGCCTCTGGGGATGGAGCCCAGGGTCTCACACCTGCTAGGCAGGCACTCTACCACTGAGCTATTCCCCTAGCCCCAAGACATATTCTCCTCGACTTTTAGGTTTCATAGGGGGTAATTATGATAGCCAACATCTACTATGCACCTACTGCATGCCATGCCTTGTGTATCCGGCTGTGCTAAGCACAGAAACATGCTGAGCTGGATTCTTGGGGATGAGGGGCCAGGCCTAACCATTTGCTCTTGGATTTGCATGTGGCTGGTTTCAATGCCAGATAAGCTACAGATAGAAAAGTTCAAAAGATAATTAAACCGGTTAAAAAGCAAAACGGCACTGGAACTGAAGCCAGGCTTCAGAACCAATTTCCAAGAAGTAATTTCATCATCAGAGAACATCAAACGTGACTTCTACTTTCAGCTATGCAAATTCCAAAAGAATAATACCTCACATTTGCATAATGCTTGATGCTTTTCAAAGTGCTTTCTCAGTTATTAATCTACAGGAGGCTTTATTACCACCGGAAACATAAATCAAAATTCTGTTCAAACTCCATTATTTTTTCCACTTTCCCCCTCAAAACCCAGAGCCACCTAAATCCAGGTGCTTTCTACTGAGAGGGTAACTCTAATATATGTAAGTGACAGAGTGGATATGCACGGATGTAGCATATTGTGAGATCTTCCATCTCCAGACATCACAGATCCAGGCTTCAGAAAATCTGTGGTTGAATTAACAAGACCACAGGGGAGCAACCGGTAATTCAAGTTCAAGATTCTTTCAGGGTCTCAGACTTTGTGGGAGCTGTACATGTTCATTGGCATTCATCCCCTTCTATTAGATATTAGGAAATTAGCTCTACCACTTTCTCCCTAAGTCCACAAAGTGGCCCACATTTGCCAAACAGATTCCCTGTCTTTTCTGTTTTTATTGTAATAGGAACCAAGAGGCGGAATCTGCTCTAAATCCAACAGAGAAGATCGTGGAAACTCGAGGTGAGAAGATAAGACAGGGTATGAGGATAGACTTCTCCCCAAATCGAATGCCTTTCCAATTTGTTTCTTTTCCCATCTCTTTCAAGCTTAATTATGTGTGGCGTTCCCAGTCACTGAATCACCAGTGTTTCCTGACACTTCAATCTCATGCATTTTAGCAAAAGATTAACCTGCCTGTTTGCTTTTAATTCCGAAGCTGTGTTAATACTCAACTCCCTCTAGATTAGGAAAGAAGAAAAGCACACTCCCACGTACCCCACCCCGCACCAGGCACCAGCGAGGCTCCAACGTCGTCGCTGTCCCTGGGGTTGGCTGCACTTACCATTTCAGGAGGGCCAAGAGAGCCACCAGCAGGGCCACCGTCACCAGGGGGCCACTCGCTTCCAGTTTCAGAAATCCCAAGGCTTCCATCATTCCTCTGAGACCCCAGAGAGGGCGATCCTCCAGGCAAAAGAGGGGGGTTGATGTCTCCGCCCTGACGGGAGCCCTGAGCTTCAGGTGGAGGAGGAGGAAACAGGCACCCCAAAACACGCCTGGCCAGTGGGTCCCCCAAGTGTGCTCTTTCTCAGAGATCCTCTTAATAAAGAGGAAGGAAGAGGAGGGGAAAACAAAGGGTTTGAGGGTAAGGCAATGATTCAGCAACTTGGTCTTCTTTGATGACTCTACTGTCAACAAACATTTATGTTCACTTCCTTGGAAAGCCAGAGCAGATGGACGGTCCCATGTTTGCTGAGAAACGAGACTGGGGAAGCCATAGACTGCGACTCCCACACACAGTCCTCCAAGAAGGCCTCTCCTCCAAAATCCGCATTTCCACGCGTTCACGATTAAGTGAAGATATGGGTCAGAAGATTATGAGGGTCCTGGAAAAGCATGGGGCCCGGCATCAGCCTGATGGAACACGCTCCCTGCTTTGAGGCCAGCCTCCCCACAAGGCTCCCTAGCTTCTGGGGCTGGTGAGCCCTCTTGGCTGGGAGGGTCCCGGGGTTCTGGCTGGCGGAGCAGAGCACAGACCTCGGCTCGGGCCAGTGGTGAGTGGGGAGGTTCCCGGAATGTGGAAAGCACGCCCACGGGCTGTGTGTGCTCAGCTCTGAGCCACCTGGCTGCCGGGACAGAATCACCTGGGATTAGTCAGCGTAGTCCACCTGTGGGAACGGGAAGGGCCGATCAGAGAGGTAGGTGGCAGGTCACAACCAGCTCTCACAGGCCCAGTACTAGACCCCGGAAGGAGGTGGACGACAAAACGGGGAGACAGAGAAGGTGAATTGCAGGTGGAGAAAAGGGCTGCCAAGGTCCTGAGCACGTGGCCGTGATGGGGCGTGGGGATGACCCACTGCAGGGCGTGGCCCGGGGTGGGTGTGTGTCTCCAGAGGAAAGCTTCCAGCCCAGTCGTGTCCCTGTCCGTGGCTGGAGAGCCATGAGCAGAGCCTCAGGGGACATGCATGAGGGTCCTAGGTGGGGAAACCCACATGTCGTTGGCCCTGCAGAGAGGCCGGTGCCATCGGAGTCCAGAGAGCCGGCTGGGGCCAGCGGTGGCTGGGAAGAAGAGCTGAGGTCCCCAGAGGCCAGATAGCCACTGGGGTCACTGTCAGAAGCTTGGGCTTCGTTTTCCGAGTCCCTCGGGGTGTCGTGTGGCCGCATTTACCCTGGTTCCAGAGCACGTGGGCTGGACAGAGAATTCACTGGGAGACAAAAGCAGAGCCCTTCTAGGCGTCTAGTGCCCCGTCCAGACATAAGGAGGCTTGACCACGGTGGGCAGGGGAGGTGGGAAGGATGAGGTGGGGGTAAGGCGCGTGGGGGTAGACCCCACGGAATTCACGGTGGGGCCATGTGAAAGGGAAGTGGAAGGAGAGACCGCGTCTGACTTCCAGACTCCTGACTTGAGCTCTAGGTGTGTAGGTCCATTGATGAAGACTGGGGAGGTGGAGTGTTGGGAAAATCACAAATTCTGTTTTGATCCTTGAGGTGCCTGGGAGAGGCCGGAGTGGGGCTGTCAAGTCCAAGTGGAATCTCAGCCCAAAACATAAATAATAGCCATCATCAGTCATTGTGACCCCATTTATGGAGTGCCACCCGTGTGCTAGTGGCTCTTCTCTGAGCTTTCGTGTGTTCACTGAATCCTTATGAACACGTCTTTAAGCCCCATCTTACAGAAGAAGAAACAGAGGCCTGGGCTGTGACTCCAAGGCCGTGACTTCCTCAAAGAAACATTTAAGCCTGGACGTCCTCGCTGTCACTGTGGTGTTTATACCCAGAGGGACCGCTGAGTTTCAGCCATAAAGAGGACGGTGACCCACCCAGGCACCCAGCGCCTTCCTGGCTCCCCGGCTGCCCTGCCCCTCTGTTTTGCTTGCTGGCTCCGTGCCCCCAGCTGCAGCACCCCATCTGGACAGTGTCCTCGGCTGCAGCCCAGCCCTCTTGGATTCCCCTCCCCTCTGTCCCATCCGACCAACACAAAGGCCCAGGTGTTCT